CCCCCCCCCACACACCCCCCCCCCAGCGAGGCCGCAGCCGTGGGCCCAGCACCCAGGCAGCCTTTGCTCCCGGGCTCCCGGGCAGGGGCCATGCTGAGTCCTGGCAGCTGGGGATGGCAGGGGCTGCAGCTGCCCGGTTTGCGACCGAGTGCCCTCTGGCGGCTCAGGCCAGCGCCTGCGACCAGGCGGCGGGGGGCTCAGGCCAGTCCCTGCCTGTCCTGGCTCCACGCTGCACCCCAGGAGCAACCGGCAGGTCCGGGTCCTAGGCGGGAGCTGGGGCTTTGCTCCCGCCCCAAGCACCAGCTCCACCATCCATTGGCCAGGAGCTGCAGCCAATGGGAGCTGCAGGGACGGTGTCTGCAGGCCAGGGCAGCGCATGGAGCCTCCTGCCCCCTGCCTAGGAGCCGGACTTGTTTGGCCTCAGCCCCTCTGCGACTGACTGGCATTGCCCATGGTAAGCACAAGTCACAGCCTCCTGCCCTGGCCCCTCCCCCGAGCCTGCACCCCCATCTGGAGCCCTTGTCCCCTCCTGCACCCTGAGCCCCTGCCCCAGCCTAGAACCCCCTCCTGACCCCAAAGCTCACCCCATCCTGCAGCCCCTGCACCCCCAGCCCGAGCCCTCACCCCAGCCCAGAATCCCCTTCTCTACCCAAACCCTTCATTTCTGGCCCCACCCCAGAGCCTGCACCCCCAGTTAGAGCTCTCACCCCATCCTGCACCCCGGCTCCTGCCCCAGCTTAGGGAAAGTGAGCCACTGGGAGTGGGGGAATGCAGCAAGTGGGGGCGGGGCCACCGGAAGGGGCGGGGCTATGGCGTGTGGCTTTGTGCCACCAGACACTTGGCAGCCCTGCCCGGAGGGGCCGGGTCTCTCGGACGGCTCGGCCCGATGGCCAGGTGCCAGCGTAGGGGCTCCCCCGGATGGTGCGTGGGTGTGAGCACTACGTAATAATGGTGCTCTTTGCACCATCCTCGTACGCCCTGAGCCCAGGCTCTTTGTGTGGCTCCGAAGGCCCTTGGCCGACGTGCCCCGGGGCGAGGCTCCGAGCAGCCTGGCCAGGGGCTGGGGGAGACAGAGCCAGACCCCCTTGGGAGCCCAGCCACTCTCAGCCTTGGGGGAGCACCGCCGAGCCCCAGGCCCCGTCCAGAGCTCCTGGGCCCTCCAACACCATAACCAGCCCCCAGCCACCAGAGCTCCGCTTGGAAGGGAAGTCGCGGCTCCCCCCCCTCGCCGGCCGGCCCTTGGCAGCCTCCAGAGCACTGACCCCCACCCGGGGCACACACCCCGCTACCTGCCCGCGGGCCGGCTGCCCTCCCTCCCTGGCCTCTGCGCAGCACAGCCCCCGGAACCATTCGCTGGCAAGAGGGAAAATTCCCCTCCAGCCTCCCACCTTTGTGTGGTTTGCATCTGGAAACGGTTTGCATCGAGACCGATTCTGTTTACATTGAGCATCTTCTACTTAACCGAGCCCTCGGCACATCAAACGGCTCTTCCTGCCGCCGCCTTTCCTACCAGCTGGGAGCATGCGAGCACCAGTTAATGAAAGGCAGCCGAAAACTGTTCTACTCCTTTGTTGGTCAGGGCAAGAATGTACCACCCTACAAAGGAAGTGCCCCAGAGAGAGAGACACAGAGAGAGAGAGACAGACACACACACACACACACCCTTTAACAATCACACACACACACACACACACACACACACACACACACCCTTTAACACACACACACACACAGTCACACCCTTTATCACACACACACACACACACACAGTCACACACACACCCTTTAACAATCACACACACACACACACACACACACACACAATCACACACACACACCCTTTAACAATCACACACACACACCCTTTAACACACACACACACAGCCACACCCTTTAACACACACACAGTCAGTCACACACACACACACACACACCCTTTAACAATCACACACACACACACACACACAGCCACACCCTTTAACAATCAACACACACACACACACACTCACACACACACACACACACACACACACACACACAGTCACACACACACACCCTTTAACAATCAACCCATCTGAAACTTTTACTTCCCCCTTCTCCCCGGTCTCTCTGGGCGGCACTTGGAGTTCTGCTCCTCTTACCTACATATTTCTGCTCCCACAGTTCTCGGCTGGAATCCGTGTGCCGGAGCAACACAAGCCGGAGCCAGGCAAACCCGGAGCTCCTGGGAGAACTGGGGCAGGACGAGCGCTGCCAGCACAGAAAATGAAAAGAGACTCACCAGCCGGGGTCTTGCTGCTGGGCCGGGGCAGGGCCGGGGAAGCGGAGCAGCCCAAGCCCGGTGCAGCTGTGGGAGCAGAGTGGGGCTGCTCGGTCCCTCCCAGTATTTAAGCTGCTGACTCAATGAATCAGCAGAGGGGCAGTGTCAGAGGCTGGAGCAATCACTGGAACAGAAAACCCCGGGGCCGGCTCCCCCCGGGCTTGCAAGGGGAGCAGGAGGCTTCTCCCGAGAGCCGGAACGCCGTTCCCACCCACCAGCCCTGCAGCGGGTTTGGAGGAAGCGGAGCGCTGAGAACCGGCAGCTACAGCTGCAGAGATGTCCCCTGGGCAGAGCCCCCGCCCGCCCGGCTCACAGCCAGCCCCCTGGTGCCAGGCTGAGCCACCCTGCTGCCACACGCGGACTAGCCATCTCGGAGCCGGCAGAGCTGGGAAGAGGGGCGGCTGGCTGAGGTTTGGCAGCACCTCATGCTGCTCAGACTGCGCCTTTCCCCACCCCCTGCAGCTACAGCTGCAGAGATGTCCCCTGGGCAGAGCCCCCGCCCGCCCGGCTCACAGCCAGCCCCCTGGTGCCAGGCTGAGCCACCCTGCTGCCACACGCGGACTAGCCATCTCGGAGCCGGCAGAGCTGGGAAGAGGGGCGGCTGGCTGAGGTTTGGCAGCACCTCATGCTGCTCAGACTGCGCCTTTCCCCACCAGCCTCAGCAAGCTGGACCACAGTGGGGGGGGGAGGCTGCACTTCTCAGATGGGGAAACTGAGGCACAGGGAAGTTAAGTGTCTTGCCCAAGGCCACAGAGAGAACAGAGCACAGGGCTGCTGAAGCCCCCCCCCCAGCACTGCCCCCCCACTGGTGGCTTGGACACAGCTCGGGCCTCTCTGGAGCAGCCCCATGGCAGCCTACGAGCGCAGCAGCAGCACAGGGCCGAGGGGGCGCCGCATGCCCAGGGCAGCTCCCTGCAGCGGGCCCCTCGGGCAGCGACCTGCTCGGGCCCCCAATGCCGGCCTCATGCCACTCCCAGGGGAGCTGGCACAGACAC